TTTTTTTTTTGTTGGACAACTTGTTGGAGTAATTTAACTACTGTCGCGTCGACAATGAAGTACGTACATCCATTCACGCACCTTTACCATAACACTCTCATGCTCCCTGATTACTCCGATTTCACCCTGATCACTCCGATCTTCGGAGAGCTCGTTCTGCCGATTGAAATCACCGAGGCGATATCCTCCACGCGGAACCCTTCGAGTGTGCCATCTTCCCTCTCATCAGGACAGACCAGGTCTTTTCCAAAGCGAACCGGTTCTTCGAACTGGAATTTACATTATCGTCGTCCTTGACGTATCGACCAGGACTACGACGCCTGGCACAGTTTTCCTCGCGATTCTTAATCGCGCACTGACGCACATAGAGCTTTCGAAAGACGCTTCAAGGATATTCCTCGAGAATTGAATTGATCTCGTAACGGACCACCACCGGCGGCGGCGGCGGTGGTGGTTTCCAGTCCCAAACGAGCACTATCGCCGCTGTTGGTTCTACGCTGCAGCGTGTAGATCATCAACGCGTCATGTCGCGGAGAATGGAATATGAAACACCGGGGATGAAGAGCGGGGGGAGAGAGAGAGAGAGAGAGAGAGAGAGAGAGGGAGAGAAAGATTAAAAGAGAGACTGCGAGGGGAAGGAGAGAGAACCCGGAGGAGAGGAGAGGGACGAAACGAGGGAGCAAGAGGGCACAGTACGAGAAAGCACTCCGACGTGCCAGTTGGAAAGCCAGGCTGCGAGTCGACTGCTGGCACGAAAACTCGGAACGTGCGGCTGGCTTAACCGCTGCCGCCGTCCGCCGATCGGAGCTGCGGCGGGTCGAAGCTTGCGCAAGCTCTCTGGCGTTCTCTTTCCCGCTGTCTTTCTCCCACGACGTCGGCATGGCGGAACGCTCTCCCGTTCTCTACCCTCCACCTCGCGTTTCTCTCCGATCCCACTGTGTGTGTGCCCCCCCGTTTCGCAGTTTCCGCCCCCCTTCCGTTTACGATGATTTTCATTGAACTGCTCGCCGTCCCCCCCACTCCCCGCTCTCGGTCTCCCTCCGCTCTCTCGGCCTCCCCCTTCCCACCCCTTGAACCGCCCTGCGATGACCTATTGCACCTATTGCCACTGGTGCTCCACGTCCTGCCACGTCCCTTCTTCTACATATACCTTCCGGCGCCTCCTGTGTGTTCTCTTGTCACTTTACTTTTTTCTCATCTTATCATCTGCCTACAACCCGTCTTGTCATCCCCCTCTCGCGCGGTCCGGGCAATCGATAGACACGTTTGACGCGCGTAGCGTGCTTATCGTGCGAATTTAGTGCTTCCGCTCCATGAACACGCACGCGAACACACGAGAGCCGCTATTAAAAATAAAAGCCGTCGCAACGCCGTCGTCGCCGCCGCCGCCGCCGCCGCCGCCGCCACGACGCTGCGACGCGTCGCAATTCACACCTGACGTATCGATTTACGACGAGCACGTAGAGCGCCGGTTGTCCCTGTACGCTCGCGAGTTTTAGCCGAACGTCGGGAGATTGGGAGGGCTATTCCTCTGTTTAGAGTTCATGTTTATCCGCAAACACAGCCGTCTGAATGATTCACCTGCAACGTCGACGAATTTTCATAGCAAACGTGTCTATTGATGCGTGTCAATCGGTGTAAATACTATCCTCAATTCCTTCATATTCGCCAACGTCGAAATTCGTGCAGACCCTCCCCCCC